AATGCTAAATCTCTGGAACAACAGCTTCTAAATATAGCATACTGCAAATCCTAGGCAGTTTCAGTTTTTTTAATGTTTCTCTACATAACTAGACACTTTAAAAGATGGAAAGCAAGTAATTTTGTCTGGGATGTGCACTCTGAAAATCATGTATGAATCTGTTGCATATTCAATTTGTTGCTTCATTCAGTATGCCATTTATTAATTTTACTTCCAATACCATACTTGGTCATGCACTAATGATGCATCCTGACTGCCATTTTTATCATCTGCTAACATATTCATACTCTCCATATAGGTATCAATTCATTGAACAGCAGTTTATTCCAAAAGTCTGCCTGTTTAGAGAACACTTATAGCTTAGAGCCTGCACAGGTGAAAGGACCCTGGGAAGATGAGGCATCATACCTGAGCCCAGAGGTAATGGCATAAGCAGAAGGATAGGGTAACACAGGCCAGTATTTTAGTCACTGGGAGCAACTGCCGAAAGATGATGCTAGTTCTGCCATTATCCTGACTCAGCCAGAGGAAAAATAAATAAGTTTCTAATCAGATCCACTTCAGTTTAGGTAGCATTTGTATGAATACTGAAGATCATTTCACAGAATTATAGAACAACAGAATGGAAGGCACCTCATTTGGTCATCTGGTGCAACCTTTCTAGCCATAGCATGACCTAGACTAGATGAACCAGCACCCTGTCCAGCCAAATCTTGTCCAGTGTTGGGGAATCCACCACTTTCCTTGGGAGATTATTCCAATGGCTGATTGTTCTCACTGTGAAAAAACTTTTCTCTCGTGCCCTGTCAGAATCTCCCTAAGGAAACTTGTGCCCATTACCTTATATTTATTTTGTACCACTGTTTAAGAGCTGGAACATGTTGATAAGGTCTCCCTTTGATCCTTCTTTTCTCAAGGCTGAACAGACCCAGTTTTCTCTCAGTCTTTCCTCACATGGCTTCCCAGGCCTTTGATCATCTTTGTGGCTCCTCTCTGGAGCCTTTCCAGCCTGTTCACATCTTTTTTGTGTAGTAGGGACCAAAAATGAATACAAGTAACTCATCTGAGCTATAGAGGTTAAGCCAATGCATTTTACTTCATGTTCACAAGAACGAAGAGAACGCATGATCCATCTCTGCAGGTGTCAGCTAGGCTGGATACTTTAACAGTTCTCTTATTTCTGATCCCTGGTCTCCACCTCCCAACAGCACGGCTACTGACAGAGCAAGACTCAAGTAATATGCTGCACTTACTACATGAGTCATGAGAAAACTTTTCCTGGGCCTAACCTGCCTAGAAATCAAGCAAGTGGTGGGAACTAATGCACTATGTTCTAGATGGCTGGTAAGGTCAAAGATCAATTATTTCATTAGCTTATTTAAATTAGTTCATTAAATGCAAAACATCTAGAATTCACCAACCTCTTCATCTAGATCTTATTTTAGTGAAGTAATAGAAGGATGGAATTAACAACTTAAGAATGAAGCCAGGAGACGATAGGTTCACAAATCTTAAAGACAGCCTACTGATCTACTTCAGGCACTGAAACTGCTTTGCACTACCCTGAAAAACAACATGCTCCTCTCCATAGCTCACAGAAGGAACTTGGGCTTCTAACTATAGGTGCTTTGAGTCACAGCATCCCATCCCTTAAGTTCAGTAAAATATTGTGCCATGAAGCACGTAAAAGGCATGTGTTTCATCTGTATAGATTCTCATATTAGGTTTCTTTAAAGTGATATATGTAAGTGCTGTCAGTTTATAATTTAATTATTTGATTCTTTTAAAGTCCACGTCATTAAAAACATTGTTTTGACCAGCACTAGGTTCCCAAAACTAGTTCATAATACTAAACTAGTTCCTAGTCAAGTTTGGTATTGCCGCCAAACACCAGCAAAGGCAATGAATAAGGAGATGTCTCATACATAGTTAAAAGCATGAATTGAACAGGATGCACACAAAAAATCTGCACCATCACTACCATGCTAAACTCCTCCATCTGCCAGTAACAGGTTTTTACCATCAGCATGGGATGCTACGACTAACACAGTGCAAGTGAGATTAAACCCCAGGATTAATCACCATTTAAAGACATTAAGTGAGGCTACAAAGATAGTTTTGCTCCCTGCTTTATCAAGTGCATGATCATTTAACATGCAATTGTAACTAGAATATTTCACCTGAACTTACCTCATCTGAAAAGCTGACAGCAGTTACTGCTTTTGCCAACCCAGCTTCACCATTTAACAGAATACCTGACTTCACCCCATTTAGCCCTGACTTAAAAACCCTTAAGGAAAAGCAAGTTGAGCAGCCTGTACCTAACTATTCAAATTACTTAGGAGTTAATTGCCTCCAAGTTGAGCTATTAGCAGTCTAATGACACAGCTGAGTCTTAAACAGAATGCCACTTTAGCTGCCCCATGACACTTGGTTCAGGTACCAAAGGTTTTCCTTGTTCTGCTGCTCTAGGCTCCAAAGCTTCAGCCTGGCAGAGCAAGCATTTTCTAAATCTTGCCTTGGTTAACCTTCAGAGCTAGGAAACACATGATAGAGGCAGTCAGGTTCACGTCACAAATAGTAATGCAGATTGTTCCATGCTGATTAATTTCAAGGAAAAAAACAATTGCTCTGAATGAAGTAACTGAATTCCAACACACGTGGAAGCAATGGGAAAAAGGCTTATTGTTTCCCAGTTCTGAAGAGCAAGATAAGCAAAACGTTTAAGTTGCTGAGAAATCCATCTTACAACAAAGCAAAGCTAAATAAGTAGGCACTTGAACTGCGCTGTGCAGCACTCAAAAGACTCTGCTCTCTTCTCCCCACACAAGCTATGAAACAGAAGAGGTGCTGACATACATCAAAAGCCAGATGTATACAAAGACAGATCTAGCTTCCCCACATACATACAATGTGTCATTTCCTTAGCTCAAGCTATCTGATGTCCAATCCAAGGGGAACACGCTTTGTCAAATATGAACCAAGGACAATGTGTCCCAGAGGCTTAATGCAGTAAGAATTAAACAAGAACATATTCCCTACAGAGATGACAATATGAATGTGAAAATGGCACTTGAACAGATCCTTTTTGTTGACATCTCTGAAGGTCTGAAACTAGAAGGAATTGTAATCTTTTCTCTCAGTCTCAAGTCTAAAGGTTCACAAACTGTGAAAAGCATCCAGAGAAATGTTCATGCCATTAAAAAACCAAGACAAATCTAGAAGACCCGTTGTAATTTTTTTTAAATTAGTATGCTTAACTTGAAAATAAGCAAAAGCCAAGTTAGGCATCCAGAAAACACTTACTGCCAGTGAGATTTGTGCTGGAGAAAGACCAGAGTTTTGTATTTTTATTACCAGATTTTCAAGGCATCAGGACTCACATGAAGTAACACCTGTCCCCCCTGCAGAAGGCAAATTCAGTAACTAAGCCTTCAACACTGTAATCTCTATTTAGCTATTGTTGGTTTACAATACTCAGTAATTCAAATATGAGAATAGTATAGTGAGAAATAAGCATATCAATAAACTGAGAAGCAGATTGGACTGTAACATTCAATAATGACCCAAAATTAGGTTGCACTCAGCCACACACTGTGTCTTCATCTTCACACACTCAAATTCAGTATTTTTAACCAAAGTTGCCCTTAAAGGTGGAGAATATTCACTCTGAATTTGATATAGTAGGTTATTTAAATGTGTGTTTCTCTGCTGTAGAAGGTTCCCACAGTATGAGAGAGGAAGGAAGCAGAATAAAGTTAATATAACACACACGAGAGTTAAAGAAAACATATTCTTCAGAAGAAAAGGGGGGAAAACTAGCTTTCTTTTATAGAAGGTACACTGCAGGGAGAGTGGACAGGAGCTTTTTGTCAGCCTTGCTAGCCCATCTTCAATAGTCAGAATGTGCTTGATAAACCTTGTTCCCCACCACTTTCACACTGTTAGCATCATCACTACTCAGCCTTTTAAAAAGATCATATTGTGTCAGAAGTGAGAAAGCTGACAGAAGTTGTAGCTACTTCCAAGCACCAAGCTCTCCAGAAATAAAAGGTTGTTTAAATTCAAAATCAAATTAGTTATTTTTATCTCAACATCTATGTTTCAATATACTCGGATGTACTGTTACATTTTATTTCTCTAAGGTAATGCCAAATGAAAATGTCATCTTTGGTGAAATCATAATTAATAATCAGATTAAGAAATCCTCATTAATATTTGTAACTCTCCATGCTTTAAGCTTAGCATAACTAATTAATTTGGCAAGTTAAACAAAGTTATTTCATGAACACTGGAGTTTTTCAGAACTTCAGTCCTTCAATTCTTCACTCTAAAGGTCATGTGCTCTGTGGAAAGGCAGCATCACCCACCAGCAAGTTCTGTGCAGAACACACCAGAACACGGGGTTGGAGCTCTACTAGAGAACTAGTCAAGAAACAATGAAAGAAAAACCTCATTTCAAATACTATTCTCAGGAACTGATAAAAGAGATACAAACAAGTGATTTTTAACTTCATGTAACCAACCAGACCATAAAAGCTTCTGTTACCCCAGGAGTTCAAGAAAAATTGTACCTGCACCCCTTAAAATGGCAACAGAAAAATTAACAGTGTAGAGTGGGGGGAAAGGACTACAGCAAAGAACAATGCAAAAGAGTGGTCAGGCATGCATTTTGCAAAGCAACTGTCAAGTACTTGAACAAGTGCAAGCCTAAATTACAGCTCTTACTGAACATTAAGCAGTTCAGATAAGTTGAAATAGAGAGTGAATTACTCATGTGACACTCAATCACGCAAGGTGAAGCTATTCAAACTGCAACCAAAATACACAGAAAAACTAGCTAAGATCTTACACATCAGCATCATACTGTTCATCATTTAAAACTGCAGTCCTACCACATAAAAATAGTATTCCCCCTTAAAGAAATCTATTTTCTTGAATTCTTTCCCCACACCAAATATTTCTCACTGCTGGTAATATGGTAAGTAGTCTTCACATACCAGTTGTGAACCATCAGCTTCTGCACAGCCAGTAGTGCATTATAACGAACTTGCTGGTCTTCATGATGCATGTGGTTCATTACCAACTGCTTACCACCAAGTTGTTCAATCACTCTGAAAAAAGAGAAGGGAGCAGTTTTACTGACGTTACTTCAGCTTCTGGGTAGCTATCCTACCCAACCACCTCATGTTCAAGGCATTAAGGGGTTAAGTCACATAATATTTCTTTTGTTAAAAGTGTTTATTTCCTAACATATACATCTTATTTGACACATTAGCAATGCAGGTCTCTTATATTACCTCTGAATTATTTTTTGTTTTAAGAATTCACAGCATCGGAAAGTATTTGTATTGGACTCCTCTTTGCTACCCACTACCTACTTCCATAAATTTTGAAATAAATGATCAGGGAAGAAGCCCTTTTCACAGAGGGTTATTTACCCAGCTTGGCTTGAGACAGTTCCACTATCTATGATAATTTAGGAGGAGGTAGTGCTCTCCCCTCCATAAATTGATGATAACCACATCACTCCATTTTTTGCAAGACTAAAGCCCCAATCCAGTCCAGCACTGCCTAATCCAGAAAAAATGCTTGTCAACACACCAACACCTATTAAACCACCCACCTGGTACACCTCACAGTGGTTTTTCACATTCAAACTGTATTAGAGCCACAGCTTTTCCTGCACAAGATGCAGAACTGGCTGCTAAGGTACCATTTCCAGAAAAACCACATGCTTGAGCTGTATTTTTCACTACAAACTTTACCACAGTAGTCAGCCATAACTTTTTAATAGCTATAGCAAATCCCACACAAAACACTGATGAAACCTTTTATCACATGTCATGAATATATCATCTCTTAAAAAATATATGGAAAGCAACACACTTAAAACCTGAAAAAGTATCACCATCCATATGACACTCTACATGCAGCATTTTGGTCTGTCATAACAAAGAAAGGTTGGAGAGAATTTGCAAGGAATATATGAACTGATTCCTCACTGACTAGCATATGGTTTTTTACATCAGTTCTCTCACAGGTCACCAAGCAGTTAAACATAACATCCTGTGAAGATATCCTGTGAAGACGCTACCATTTACATTACTATTAACCTGATGTTACCCTGCCATTCTAATGTTGCATTAACTATCTGCTTTTATTACTGTTCTTTTCACAGCCAAATTAATGCATTACTGCTGCACAACACATTTTTGCAAACTGCATGAACAAGTATAAAAACATAGCATGGAAATGAAAAGAGAACTTCCCATTTCACTTTATGACTCAGTCAAAACCATCCTGGAGAACACAGAGAATATTATTTCCCAGAAATATTAAAACATACAAGGATGTTGCATACAACAGGAATGCATTCAGGGAAGTGCAATTGTTTTAAGCTGGAAAATCATTGCTAAGAATTCAAGAAATTATTAGTAATGTAACAGACTCAAAAAAACCATTTATGCCTGCCTTAGGCTGCCTCACATTTTTAATGAGTTAAATATAAAAGCACAAAGACAAGACTATGAAATAAAAACAAGAATTTTTTCCACATTGCAAGACTGACTTAAACACTGAATTTTCAGGAACTGAAAGGAGTTAAAAAAAGGCATTAAACTCAAAAACTTCCTTACACTAGGAACACACAACGATCAAAATGAAAAGTTAAAAGCCTATAATCACAAATGGTAATAGAGTATTTCAGATGACAGTACATCACTGAAATTATGGCTGAGAATATGAGGAGCTAGAGAACAGCATTCTTGCATAACACTGGCTACTGGTACAAATCCCTTCCCAGACATGTTTTATACCCACAGGTAAGCACCTGTGAGGAAGGTTCACAGTTAATCCCATTCCTTCAAGTTCCAAACCTGCTCAAAACACTATTAGCTCTGTTTCCCTCTCCTCAGCTTCTGCTTACTTTGCAACAGTAATACAGCCCAGTGAGCCAGTTATGATTTGTGCACAACTTCTGCAGTTCCCCATAATAATACTGCATTAAGTCAAAACAGTGGCAATTCAAACAAGTTTCTGGATGATGAAGAGCCAGATTTTAACATGGCCCATTTAAAGGGAGAAAAAGGAAACAGAAGATGATGACAAATGAAAGTAGTTTAGACCATTATAGCAGAAAATACTTATATAAAACCCACACTACATACCTAAAAGCAGAACAAGGTGAAAAAGAGAATGCAGTTAAGCTGTTTCTGAATCACAAGCTAAGCAACGGAATGGCTCTAGGAGTCAATCTCTTGTACATGCAAAACATAAACCCCATGTTCAAAGCATTCAAGTGACTGAAAGTGTTGATCTTGCATAGCAGTAACCCTTGGGCCACATGGAAGTTATACTGGAGGCTGATGTTTAGCCTGTATTTATTTTCAGTGACAGGAAACACCAATGCCATACTTCACCTCTGCTGTTAGACTATCAGAAAACACACGTGTGGCTGAGCCTCATTAGAAGTCTACAGTGCTATTGCCTTGAGAACCTGGTCCTCAATGTGCAATTTTAAAGGCAAGTTAAAATTATTTAAGCTGACACCATTCGAGAACAGCCAAGCAAAAAAGTAGTACTTAAGTTTAACAAACATTTTCTTTTGTCAACAAAGGGAAAGGTTAGACAGAAGTGTAACTCTAGGTCTCCACTGTGTGCAGCAGGTAAAATCAAGTTTTAGGTTCGAATTCACCTCTGCAACCTCCAAAGGCTGAAGGACAATCCAGTTAAGGATAAACACTTAAAAGAAAAATTATTTAAGACATTTGAATTCTGTTATTCTTCTAAACCAAGTGAAGAGCTTCCACTCTCAAAGTGAGTCATGCAATGAGAGTGTGAAATGCCAGCCAGACGTGGGAGGAGTAAACTATACATTATGGTAAGAAATGGACATGGGAACTGACATACAGTCCGCAGGTATTCTAAGCTTTTAGTCCTAAAATTGCTGAAGTCACACTTAGTAAGAACACCCTGGATTATAAACAGAATTCTTTAAGAGAAAGAGACTGAGGCATTTTAGTTTGTCCATCAGAACAGAAAGTGAAATAAGTCAAGTCTGTAAGTAGAAAGCAGCTGAAGTGTAAGAATTTAATAAAAGAACATGGGTTAGAATAGTATCTGTAGCACTTCTTATTTGCTAGTGACCGCTCCTTTTGAAGGTTGATGCACTTCTGAATAGGTTTAACAGCCTGACAGTTGAACTGAGCTGTGGTCCCTCCAGCAGTACTTTTTCCCAACTACAGAGAGAGATGCAGGTCCTGTTCATCCACTCATCTGACTTCACCGCTTTGGCTCAGTGACTGCATGGCCAAACTAGCCCAACCATTATGCCACATTTGGCTAGATGTGCGCAAACTGTTTAAAGATCATGGCAAATCACTAATAAAATGGTTTCAGACAAATGGCAGCTCAAAGCACGAGCGTCCAGTAGCAAAGCTCCTTTAGCTTTGCCACTTGCAGACAGCTGTACAAGTTTCCACCTTTCTGAAGAATATCCTGTTTCCCCTCAAAATAGCAGTCGTTATAAATCATAAATCTCTTTTGGAAGACACAGGAGCTAGTTATCAACAACCAGTTAATTCGTTCCAATATTTTAAAAATATCTGCAGTTCAAGTTGCTTATAGACTACAAAGGCTGTGAGTTTTTCTAGCATATATACAGCATGAAGTTTCAGTCTGTTGTTTCATGTTTCTACTACTGTCAGGATAGCAGACTGACGTGTTCATGAAATTTCCAACATGCCTAGGAGACCGTTCTCATCTTCCCCATTAAACCACATGCAGAAATCAGAAACAGACCACTACTTTGCTGCAAAAATTAAGTCACATGTCCCTTTGGGTAACTGAAGAGCATAATTCCTGCAAAATCCAAAGGCACTTTTCTGCTTCAGTGGTCTCTATTTACTTTAGAGATGCAATTATTCAGCAAACATCTTGGTTCCCAGGTTTAAAAACAAACAAAACAACAACAAAAAAAAAAACAATAACAAAGAAAACCCCACAAACAAAGCAAGAAAATGCAGAAATGTCTGTGTGTATTTTGACGGGAATTCAGGTTGACAATAAACATTAACACTTTTGTCAAAATGTCTATTTGTGTAGCTAAAAGAAAACATGATAAAATAGAAGAGTATAACTGAATCTGTGCTAACATCACTGAAAATACAATAGCAATTGTTTCTGAGAAAAAAATTTGTATCTGTAGTCTTAATTCACAAAATAGACTTAATTGTTGAAATAGTTCATCCCTACTGTAAGTCTAATAATGGTAGACCAATAGTCATATTAGAAGGTAAGAATGATGTGTTGCTTAAATTCTTGGTAGGTCTTCTAATTTTTTCTGGTTCATGCCTTTTGCTTTAGCCTAAACAACTTAACCTGAGACTTCTTTAGACATAGGTTCCCTTCACTGTTAAGAGACACTGAAATACACTTAGCCAAAGATTTAGTTTGTATTTTCTCAACTTGCTGGTGAATTAAACTTAAACACAACCTACAATCCCTATGTAGCATATTTTAATACAAATAAGCAAAAGAGCCACAGGCAAAGCATATACTCTAGCTAGTCTCTTAAGTAACAACATATTGACATTTTTCTTACCGTTTCCCACGGGGATAGTGCCGTACATATTCTCCCACATCATGAGCAGCTACAGCCAGCACTTGTGGGTCATCAGAAACCTCCAGAAGTTTTGTCAGGATTCTAGGAAAGGATTTGAAACAATCGAGTCCCAGGTTTTGGTTTGGGGTTCTGTTTTGGGTTTAAACTTAAAACAACAAAGCCTTTGTAACCATAAAAATACTTTATGAGTCACCTAAGCAGCAAAGCTAGAATAGAACTTTTCCAAATACGCAGTTGCACTTAAAACAATGGAGATACTGCCCTAGTTAACAGAAACAAAGCATTCACTAGATTGAGCTTAGTCAGCCGTATCTACAAATACCTGTAACTAAGGTTTATAAAGTATCTCATTTTTTCATACAGATGTTTCAAGACCGCCAGGTTTGAGTTCAAGATCAGCTGCACTTACCAAACGCATAAATATTTATAGACTGGAACAAGGGTGAAACACAAGAACAATGTCCACACAAGGCCAGCAGATGATGCTGCTTTTGTTATACAATAGACCCCAGTCTTGCTTGCATGCTTTTTCCAGCTCCTGCACTCAGGATCTCACACTCTCAGAGAGCAGTAATGTGACATTGGTCGTGACACAGCAAGGTGGGTATGACAAGCCTGCTAACTATCAGCCTTTCTCCAGCTCTGTTCTTCCCCTCAGCTTACAATAGTAACCTTGCTCTTGCAGAATAGAGGGCCAAAAAGGGCAAAGTTTTATGGAGAACACTGTTACACAGATTTGTTTAAAAATTAACAGACATCCTGGCAGTTGAGAACAAAGCAGCACACTGAATTCTTTGGTGTGTGCAACCATGAACAATTCTCCGTTCGAGACCATCAACCTTCTGCTAGGTCTGGCACTTACTAGTGCAGTTACACATCTGAAAGCTCTTACAAGCTACTTAAGGCCCAGACATCTTTAAAGCACACACTTTCAGAAGCCAGCAAATAAGTCCTTAATTCCAAAAGGAAAGATGAGCTTCAACTTCATTTCATCTAACAATCTACATATATTAAACACAGTCTCGAGCAAAATAATCAGACTGCAATGAAATGCAGCAAGTCAGATTTTCCATGGAACACTCCCACAACTTTCAATCCATAAGTATTCAAAAGACAGGTGTTCATTTACTCAGATCAACAATAACACAAAACTAAGACTAAGGTATGGAAAAAAGTTTTTTAATTACATCAGTTAGTATAGTAGTTTTTTCATGTGAAAGCATGAAGAGTCAACAGCACAAATTTGTATGCAAATTAAGCCAGACATTACTACCCCCATCATCCATACATTTTGTCCAGTAAAAGCAAATAAACAGTTCTACTTCTGAACAAAACTAACCATGAGTAAGGACCATATATTCTAAAAATAACAAGATATTCTGACTTGCTTTCATTCTAGACATTACTTCATGTTGAAATGCAAAACATTAGATACAGGTTCAGTTAAACAGAAAATATTACAGAATTATGTTATTCAAGACTTGAAAACTTACTTGAGTAGCTCATAATTCTTCTCATTTAGTCTTACAGCATTCTCCCGCCAAAACTTCTCAGACTTGTGTACAGGACTCCACTCCAGCCTTCCTGACTTGAGCTCAGAACTGTACTCATCGAAGGAGCTGCAACACAGAAGACCTAAATGAAATACTGGCTAAGTTTCTACGAACAGAGTTTGAACTGTGTGCCCAAGCTTGTCCCTAGCAAGACAAAGGTGGAACACAACTTGCTATGACACATTTGAGAGTGCTCTCTGCAGAGCATGAGAACTGTGCCCTGTCTCAGAGTTCAACACCTGAAAAATAATGAAAGGCATGAAGGCAAGAGAAATATTTGTTTTCAAACATACCCCTTCATCCACCCCAAAACACAGTTCCTGAAGAAAAATAAATACATAGAGAAAAAAACAAGCCACTCAACCACAGTATTCAGGAACTTAACTGGCTGTTCCGCCTGTTTTCTAGGATTTAACTTCCCCAAGCAAGGATCCCAGTTCTTGTCTTTCATCCAGTTAAACCTTTGACATGAACTACAGTATGCACAAGAGCAAGAACTAGGTAACCACTAGCAAAAACTTGAGTTAATCTGGACAGCAAAATGTATTCTAATCAGGTCGTTTTCACCTTAGACTGGAACTTCAACCGGATCCCTCTGAAGTCCTTTAACTATTTATCAAAGATCCTGCAGGCAAAAGTGAAGATTTATTTTTCTATTCAGCTTGTAAATACACACTTAGAATAGGAAACTTTCCTCTACAACCAGCATCTCTGTACATTACCTAATCAACTAGCATTTATATATCATAATTCTGTATATTATTTAGCCATAAAAAGAAACAAAAAAATTACCAATGTTCATATAATTGATTTGGCTTTTTTTTAAAGTTCCTACTGCAAAGCATACCTAAGGTCCTGCACACTCTCACCAAGCTTGTCCAGTAGAAATTTGATATCTTCACTTATGTCTTCATCATCATATTTCTGCTGATCCAGATTCTCTAGCTGCTTCAAAACTTTACACTGAATCATGGCAAGAGCATATTCTTGGCGAGTTTCTCTCTCAGTAGATTTCTCTAACAAATTCTAGGGAAGTAAAAATTCACTTTAAGACTAGACTACTTTTAAAAAAATGGTTACTTTTAAGAAATTGTTATTGGCACTTTTTAATTTATTAAGTGACAGAATTGACCACTTCCCCAAAATAATCATTCCAAAGAAGCAAAGTATGAGTCTACCACACGATGGCTGTTTTACACCTACATTTAAGTAGCATAAATTGCCTAGGACTGACCTTACTATGCATGAGGAGTATCCATATCTGTCATTACAGCAGATGAAGAGGAACTTAGGAAAAAGAAAAAAAGGGGCCTGTCTTGCAAGGTAGAAGTAATGCAACCATATATGCTGAAAAGCAAAACCACTACTCAATTCAAGATCACGTCTCAGACTTTTCCCCTCAAATGGTGTGCTACTTTCAATACTAGGAAGTATTAATGCACCTGCGTTAGTCATTTTTCCACATCAAACTGGACTGACTACAAAGACCAATCAAAGAAAAAAGACCAGGTTTACATCCCAAATCCCAGCTTGTCTGCTACAAACAACTACTTTTACCTGAGATTATCATTTTGGATTTCTATGCAGCAATAGCACAAACCAGGAAAGCCTTCCCCTGTTGTCCCCTCTCAAAAAAGAATACCCACAAACAAAAAACAATCTGAAGTCATCTTTCCAATTCAAGAGTTACCATCTGGATTAGAGCGGCTTCTTTTGAAGTTGGCAGTATTCCAACTAAACATTTTTATTCAAACAGAAGCTTGTGGGCAAGATTGGAATTACAAGCACAGAATGCAATAGTCAGGTTCAGCCTCATTTATTCATTACATTTCTACTCAATTTAATCAGCTTCAAATTATGTTGTTCAGAGCTAGACACGTGCACTTTTTGATAAATCTGAAAACATGAATTCCATATAAAAGACAAAGTCCTTAACAAACAGAACATGTGTTTATATAAAGAAGCCTTAACTTCTACCAGAATAAACAATGAAACAATATAGAAGTAACTTGACTCCATCGACCTCATGCACATCACAGAAACATTACACTTCAGGTTTCTAAGATATAACACAACATATTAGCTAGGGAAACTTGCATACTGAAAGTCAGCCATATTCCTGCTGTAATGTGCAAAACCCCACATTGCTATTTCAGTAAGAGAACTGAGAAGTAAAAGGGTTTACAGAAAGTAATGCTAAATTACTTGGAGTTAAAAGTGCTAACGAGAGCAAAAGAACAAATAATGAATCCTAAAAGACAATATTCAACAAGATCAAGTAGCAGTTAAAGTATCCAAAGAACTCCTAATTAAGAGAATTATAGGCAGATGTAGAAGCTACTCCAAATATTACAACCTATCTCATACCACAGCAAGATACTCAAGCTTCTTATAGTGAAATTGAAAGGATATGTTAGGAGAGTACAAACATGAACACACAGAATGGATCAGTAAACTAGTAAGTGGTAAAAAAAAATAATCTTAAGGTACAAAATGAGTTGCAGGTAGGAAACACATAAAAGACAGAAATATGAAAAATGAGGGGAAAACCCCACATTTTAATAGGTAAAGTAATTGATTCAAAGTTGCTTTATAGAAGAAAAAACAAAAAAAAAAACAAAAAAAACCCCAAAAAACATTACAATTACATTCTTCAGGCAATTAACTTGCCAAAGAGGTGAAGCAGGTCAGATGTGGACAAACAGAACAGTAGAGGAGACATATAGAATCATAGCATCATAGAATCATAGAAT